AGAGAATAGACATTATAAGGGATCATAAACAACTTGAGAAATGTCATAAGGTTAAACAAAATTTAACCTCATGGGTTTCTATTCCTCTTTTTCCCTAGACATAGGCATAAAAGGAAACTTATCTCTGGTTGACAACAACCACGTGGGAAAACACTTCGGAACACCACGAACCACCACGGTACCTAAATCATAGAGACACACCTCATAACTCTTGAAGAACATACGAGACTTTTACTTTGTTTTCTATTTTCTGTTGTTTGCAATCTAATTTGTTTTTAGTTAGAATTTTAAGATTTGATCACCTTTTGAGATCACGCTAAGCTAAGTTCATAAGATTAGTACACACACACACACACACACACACACATATATATGTTGTATGATTGTATAGAATGTATTTATTTAAATAGCCTTAATATGAAGTTTATTTGCATCAGGAAGAAATTGAAGGGGGATTCAGTTTCGAGATTGAGTAAATAACTTTAAAAGATAAGGTATGTTTTAATTAAAGCTGATTGATGTAGAATTAATATATTTAATAGAAATGTTAACTTTTAGCAGTGATTTAATTTAGAAAAAATATTTGAACATACAAGATCAAGAGTTAGTCGTTGAGACAAGCAAACAAATTAAAGTGCGTAATTATTTTCTTATATTCATTAAATTCAAGTTTATTAAATAAAAAATTTCTTTAATACTTTAAACAATTATTTTTATAATGTACATGTTGTAAGCTTAAGAATTAAGGGAAATGAATGAAAAAAAAAAGGAAAAAAGATTGTGTAATGTCTTTAAAAGAAGATAATTTAAAAGAAATGAAATATAAAAGTATGTCGTACAGGATTACTCCAAGATGGTATTGGCAGGATATGCGATATACTCGTGCACGATAAAAGAAATGCTAAAGGTGTACTAACCGTAATCCTGTTGTCTCTTAAAAATATGAAAAAGGGTAAATACATAAATTAAAACGGGAATGGACAAATTTAAAATGAAAGTTTAAAGTTTTATAAAATAATGAATTGCAATTCTTTTGGTCATTCTTACATAGCATTTACATATAAACTTAATGCATATTAAGATTATAATTGCTCATTAAGTCAAACTTACTGTTAAGTTTAATGATTTCTTTTGGGAAATAAAAACTATAGAATGATATTTGACAAGAGAGACTTAATTTATAGAAGAAATACCGCAGCTGATAGGTAACGTGTTATGGTGTTGAATTGTAGTTTCTTTTTATATGTTTTCATTTAGATGTTTTACTTGCAAATTATTCTGCTACCGTTGGATGATTTAAATTTCTTTATGTGGATTTATGGATTTTTTTAATGACTCTTTATATATTGAAAGTTTTAACAAATCTATAGATAGTTATTAAATGTTAATATCGTTCAACCGTATTTCTTGACTTAGTTATCACATCGGGTCGTGACAGTGGATACATCTAGGAAATTACTCCATGACTCGTCTCATAGATTCATTATGTGAAATAATTTGTTGATTTTTGTGTTCCAACTTGATGATAATGTCCGAATTATTCTCCATATTAATGAGCTCTTTCAATGACAAACTAGCTCTGTTTCAATTTGCACTAGCAAGGGCAGATCCAAATTGAGCACAAAAAATTGGCACCATTCATAGAGTAAATATTTTAATATAGGCAAAAACCAAGCCTATTTTACGTCATATCAAATTATTAATAAAATAAAAACAAAGCAAATTTAAAAATGAAACTTAATCCCAAACAACCACTTACATAATTACTCAAGCCTCGAGGGCATTGAACTCACATCGTTGCTCAGATTCACAGAGTTAAAACCCAATTTAAAAGAATAAAATTAAATAAAGAATATTTTTATATCTCAAATATATTATAAATTTGCTAGCACATGTTTCAAGGAAATCACATTCCACTTTCATCAACATTCAGGCTCCATTCAAGCGCATGAGGCTATCCATATTAATCATTTTTAGGATATCTTGGCTTTTCTATTCCGCGTAGAATTACCTATGCTCATCATTTTTAGGTGCAAAAAGACGGTAAGCTGGCATTCTTAACCACGGACAAAATATAAATCCAAACTTCTACCTTATCTATTACAGTGAGATGATAGTTGGGCTTTCTTGGTTACAAACACAAACAAATCGAAGGACAAATTTTAAACAACAATACTACATGAAGGAGATGTTCAAACTTGTTGTATCTCACATGATCAAATTGTAAGCCCTATCCATCCCACTTCATATTTTTTCACATCTTTCACAGATTTTCATATCTTTTCAATTAATATAGAAAGTATTTTTGCCCTCTCTATCAGGCTAAGTCAAGTTGTAAATGTATCATTTCTATGTTGGTGTATTTTCTCTATCACATTGATGAGATTCTTAGGCTTTCTTGATCTCACACAATCAATATATAAGCATCACCCTCTATACCTATTCATATCTTATTTACTACATTAACAAACCATTTGATCATATGTGATCTAGTTGCAAATCCAACCTTTCATATCTTACACATCTCTTTCTATCTTCTACATCATATTAAGAGGATACCCAAGCCTCTTGATCATATATGATCAATTTGTAAGTCCCACCTTTCAAACTTTACACATCCCTCCACATCTCATCATCCTACCATAATAAAATAATATCTAAGCCTCTGATCACATGTTAACAAGTTAGTAGTCCAACATTTCATACATTTCATATCCTTCAATATCTTTTGTATCTACTCTACACATTGAAAAGTTTTTTTGGGTATTATTGATCTCACTCGGTCAAGATGCAAGCACAATCCTCCACATTTCTTCATATCTTCTCTAAAATAATTGGGATTTTTTATCATATGAAATGAAGTTGTAAAACCCACCCTTCATACCTTATACATCCCTCCAAGTCTCCTCTGCTATATTGAGACATTCATGCCTCTTAATCATATGTGATCAAGTTTTAAATGTCATCTATCATGTCTTTTCACATCTTTTGTATATTCACTGCCACATTAAAGAGATATTATTAGCCTCTGATCTGTTCTAGAGCGTCTCTCTATCACATAGAAAAGGTAGTCTTCTTTTATCCCCCTCAACTTTAGCTTAGCTAATTGTATCATTCTTAGCATATATCATCACACATGATTCTATAAGTCTAACATGAGTTTCACCTTCATATAATAGTAGAGTATAAATCCTATCTATCAACATAAAACCAAATTCACACGCTTGACCTGTGAGATCCCTTTGATGATGGTCACAAACAAAGATCCTCGTGTCATCATATGACTAACTAAACTAGGAGTGTTGATGAATCAGAATGATGAAAATATGAAACATTGATCAAGGTCGTCAAAAGCCCCTATAGATTAGTCTTCACTTTCCTACTTTCAATCATCTATCTTTCTATTTATGTTCCATCACATGGCACCATAAGTCCCCCAATAGATTAGCTTTCACTTTCCTACTTCCGATCATCAATCTTTCTATGCATTTTCCATCACATGGCACCACAAGTACATCAAATGCATCTTCGTAGGCTACTCTTTAAACAAAAATGGAGTATAAAAACTTCACTCTAGAAACACAAAAATTCTACAATTTCATGAATGCGACCTTCTTTGAAAATCAATCATAATACCTGAAATCTAACATTTAGGGGAGAAGTTGGTGAAAATATCTGATTTTGGGTAACATTCAGGAATCTCAAGCTCATATCCCTTATATCTATGATGAGCACTCTTGTACCCACTATCACAAATCAACTTGAAAATGAATTTGCTACTACACTAATTTCTCCCACAGCTCTAACCAAGAACCAAGAACCAAGAACTTTGTGTACACAATATAATGAAAAAACCAAATGAGCGTGTAAGGGATAATATGCAATATCAGGAACGCAAATCACTTGAACCAAGTCCACACACTCCAAGTATTCACACTGAGTTTGGGTCAACACAACATGAGAACCAAGAAGAATGAGCACAAGAATGCACAAAACACTCGATAGAAGAATTTGTGACCTATGAAAAATGAACATCCTCTTACAAATCTTTTATTAGTAACTTGGATAATATGCAGGTCTCAAATTCTATCCAAAAAGCCCTATACGTTTCTATTTGGAGAAATATTGTGGAAAAAGAGATTCTTTCCCTTGAAAAAAATCATACCTGGATTATAACAACAATGTCATATGGGAAAAAATGTATAAGGTATAAATGAGTATTCAATGTTAAATACAAAGTAGATAGGAGCAATATGTCATGGTAGACTGAATCTATAACACACTAAGGCTCAAGTTGGTGCAGTCATATTGGTAAGTACTCTAGCTATGCTGCATAAAATAAATTCGTCATCCTCTCACATACAAAATATGAGCTGCTCCATGACTCAATCCGTCAGATCATCAACTCACAGAGAAGTTGCAAGTACAAAAAGAAGAATTTCTGAGCATTTTTTTCACAAAAAATCAAAACTATTTTTCCAATACGAAAGCAGTAAATAAGAATAACCAAATGAAGCCTACAATAACATGAAAGAGAAGCCGATGTGTAACTGCACGGGGTTTATTATTGAAGATTATTGCTCATTTGCAACTCAGCCTATTTCCCAACATGAAAATCAATGCAGAAAGCATCACTTGCCATTTGCTTGGCTGCAAGCGTTAAAAATCAGTCACTTCATAAATTTATCACTTTTTTCCATATAATTTTGTAGTATTTTGAAAGTTAAATATAGAATGATTTCTAGAAAAGAAGGGTAAACAATTTTATGGTTTCGATTCATTACATGGCCACATGGAATTCCCAATCAACTTGTTTTTGTCACTCTAGTTTATTCAAAGAGACCTGATTTAGGGCATGACCGGTTACAGTCTAAGGTGGAAGTAATGTCAAGGAAAACGATAAAAATATGAGTAAAGAAATGTAGGAATAGCATTAAAAAATAAACAAACAAATAAAATGACAATTTTTGGCAATTATAACAAGTTGAGAATAAACTTACTGAATCAACTGCTGCAATAATTGATACTGCACACAAGACGAGGACCATTTTCCAGTTGATAACGGGTGTGCCCCATTGTAAGGGGTATGGAAACCTAAACCATGGTGAAGCACTTAAAGCATAAGAAGTGTCAACACGGCAATGTTTCATCCTAGGTACATGTTTCCTGCAATAAGCTGATAGAGTATTTGAGGTGGGTACGTTTATGTCACAGCCTTTATAGCTATAGAGTCCAGACTCTGTCAGGAAAAAAGCAATGGCCCACGTGACTCCCAGACTAAGTGGAACCTGTACACAGACATAGATCAATTTCTCAGGTGATATTTCCACAAAAGAGACAAAATATTTTATTTAGTAATTAACAGAATCATATAGTTCCATAAAGTAAAAGTTTAGATAGCAATAATGACATACTGCATAGATTAAAAAGATGCGATGACCAAATATCCTGATCTTGCGCAGATACTGCAAAAGGAGCATGAAGCAACAATGCTGATCACCATAGATAACAATAAAATAATAACAAATGAACAAAAGAATAATGAATTAAGTGCAAACTATGGATATTACATGATTAAAAGAAACCACCAAAAAAAAAAGTTATCCTAATTCCGTATTCTGGGGTATAAAGTAAATGAGCCAAATGTACTCGCCAGTGCAAATATAATGACCAGCAATATCTGCATAATGCCAATCTCAAGGCAGTTTCCAACTTGAGTAAAACCATAACTGAAAAACGAAAGCCCAACTGCGGCAACCGTAGGAGACACAACAACTGGATTAATCAACCTGAGATCAAGTTTACCATATTAGATCAGTGTAAAATCTCAAAGAAAATGCAAAACAATGTTCGAAGGCCATCTCTTGCAAGCACCAGTACGTGAAGGTTTATGTAAGTGAAACAACATCTGCATTTTTATATGAATACAAAAAACAGTAGTTCTCACAGCCATATTTCCCAAAATATCAAATAGATAAGCTTATGTTATATATTCCAAGAAGCAAGTCTAAACACTTCTAATAATATTAATTTATAACTGAAGTGTTATATCACAGAAAATCGTATGATCAAGCACGATAAGCATTTTTTATAAGAGATCTTCCAAATTCAAATTCATGATTATCAAACTCAGATTTTTAAATTTACAATCAAACCGAGACGAACCAAATGATTCTAAAATTGGCTCAATCCAGGTCCAATCAAGCTCAGATCAAGACGTTCAAGCACAAAAGGAGAATTGGGATCATCAATTGAAAGGTCAAATAAACTCTAAATTAGACATATTTATAATCGAATTAAACATTTGGATGAGAGAAATCCAATGAGCCTGAGATCGCTCAATTATGAGGTCATTAAGGTCTCCAAATCCTTAGAAAAGCATACATGATCAAGAGGGATCAACATGGATTATTAGATCAGGAGGTTAGAAAAGTAATTAAAAAAAACAAAATGCCCCTCCCTAAAAAGCTATAAACAGACCCCCTCTCTTCACTTAGTGATGGTTGGGGGGGGGAAGAAAAAGTGAAATTTCAGAGCCTGTTCTGAAGTAAAGACCCAATATGTACCCACTGCCCTCTGTAGCCACTAGCCACTATTAACCACGACCCGCTGGCCATCATTGACCACGGCCAGCAGTCACCACCTGTTGTCGCGCTGCTTGCATCCATTGTAGCTATACTATGACTGCTGTTAAATTTTCTGAAACATGTATTTTTTGAGCTATATGAGAATTAGTCTACAAAATAAATTTGTTCTCTCAGTTGTGAGAGAAGGGTGTATCGATGTACTTACAAATATATAGTGAATTACGTTGACTGAGCTATGCCCCATGACTTTTTCTCTTTCAAGATTTTTTCACGTAAAAATTTTAGTCTCTCACAACTTTTTTTTATATGTATATGTGCAACATCTTTGTGCAACCCTAAGATGTTAAATTATTACTCTATCATTGTGAAAATTACAACACACAACAAGAAAACTAGAAGCAAAGTGTTGTAATCATACTTTTTATATAAAAGCAATGCAGCAATACAAATAGCCATTTTTCCCCAAATATAAAATTAAATCTATAGGGTAATGTTACGGATCCCTAAACACCACAAGCAAATCAATTATGGCCAGTCAAATTATTAAAGTAAATGAAGACTTGATATTCACAATAGTTACATTTACAAAAGGTACAACTAATTAAGAATGGATGTGGCAAAAGGTATTGATACAACACAATTAAATTATTTGATGATATGGCCATCCTAGGAAGCAATAAATAAGGTAAAAAAAGATGATTATAAAGGCATACAAAACACTATATATTTTAATCCTTCACATATAAACACAACACATCTGTTGGACTTCATCACCATCATCAACATAGCCTTATCCCAACTATTTGGGGTCATCTAGGGGATGTTATCTCCTATGTTTAGTCCAGTTCACTAAGGGGTTGTTTGGCAGGCAACATTTTTTTTGCATTGCATTCCAATTCCCTACATTTTGGAAATTTAGTTGTTTGCTCAGAAGGAAATGGAATTAAATCTAAACTTGCATTACATTTGAAATTCAACATTTAGTTCATTTTCTCTAAATTTGAAATTCGTCCGATTTGGCCAAATATCAAAAACTGAACTTAAAGTAAATTGTTGTCAAACGCCACCACACACCGCCTCAGGCCAACATTGTTGCTGCCAGCCCCACCGCCTCCGCCAACCACCACCGCTGTCGGGCACCACTACAAGCAAACACATTACTTTAAAATACATTATTTTTATTTTACTTATAAACCAAACAAAAAAATGAATTTGTTCATTTGTTTTACACGAAACCAAACAACTAAGAAATACTTCAACAACAATAGATTACTCCTGCATGGTATTCATCTTACATTGTATTACCTTTTCAGCAAACCAAACATCCCCTTAATGTTTGGTTACATCTCGGATTCCACTTTTCATGACTTAGCTAATTTGGTATGACTTGTCTCAAGCTTTTCTTAAACTGTGGTATAGGTCTCTACAAGTAGAGTAGATCCCAACAGTTTGATTATGCAAATGGGGCTGATCTTAACCCTAGTTGGTTTGCCCAAGCCCAAGCTGTCAATGCCTCCCCACCACTAAAAACACCTCAAGTCTCTTCTCCCATTAGGCTTTAGCTGTAGATAAAATCCCAGCAAGCCATCAATTGTACACCATCATTGGAAGTCTAACAAAATTCTTGCTCCAATAGGCTTTAGCTGCATATACCAGCTTTGCAAGCTATCAATTTTACACCCTCATTCGAACTTTAACACAATGCTTGCTCCAATATCCGCAGCACTTTATTGCCTTGAGACTGTGGTGAATGAACTTAAGTAGTATCATTGAATTCCTCAGTATCACCAGACAAACTACTTGGTGTTCCTCATTTCGAAGTAACATTGCCATGTTGAACCACGGTTAAACTCAATGAAAGCCAGCCTACTCCAGTGAGACGTTGAGACCAAAAAAGGGTCATTAGCCTGATTGTCGCTGGCCCTAGACCCTCTCCAGCAGTCCTACGGCTCCAGATCTTCTGTGATATCAATACTAAGGACTATGTCCAGTTCAACTGCTCTATATCATTTGGTTTCAATCAGTAATGTAACTCTAACCACCTTTCCTCCGCCTCCACCACCGCTTCCTCGCCCCAAAAAGTTCTCTCCCAACTAAGAGCCCCCTTAGGTTTCTTATCATTATTCACGAGTAAGAACGACTAGTTATTCCTAAGCCTATACATTGCACAATTTATTAAATGGGGTTTATGTCTGCTTTACTCATAGTTTTACAAGCAATGAACTCACCACTAGCCCCCTCAGTCTGACCATACCACTACACAAACATCTAACTACTATCTCAGTACAGATTTGCACACATTTCCAGGACTTTATATTTTGTGCCAGTTTTATTATTCCTCTTGGTCACAAGTCACAAGGGACTTGGCCAGCCCAAATAAAGGCAACATGTTGTTTTTTGTTTGGAGGCTGTTAGGGCCGCTCCCAGCTTGGGAGTGTAATTAGAGTGATTCCACTCAACTTCAAAATTTGCTTCCTTAGCTATTATATATTTTCCTATTTCCTAGTTTATTTAATTTTCAAACATTAGAACTTGATGTAATCATTTTAATATTTGTTTTTAGAAATGAAAAAGGGCTAATATTTCTTGAAGAAAAAAAAATGAAAGTGAAGTGAGATTGATGATTGATCCCTCTTATGTTCTTCTTGGTAGAAGCCCTAGGTATCCTCCTTCTCCTCCAATGATCTCCTTCCCTGCAGCTACTTCTTCCCTAATATTCCTAGTATCATTCTACAAGTTTTCTCCTCCTCCTGTAGCAATAAAAAAAAAATCCCCAAGACACTTGCAAAGGTTAGCCAAAACTAGGGCACTTTTTGGCCAATTTTACCTCTCTGTCTCTCTCTCAAAGCCATCCAAACTCCTTGGATCTCCACCAAAATCTCGATGTCGGATCTTCACATAGGCCCCTACCACTTTCAATCTCTCTAGACCTCAAAGATGACATTAAAATCATCACTCAATCAAATCTTTAAAAGCTACACAAAATTTGCCCAAATTAGACATCATGGCCTATTCTTGGCCTAATTTGCATTACATAACCCTAAGCCTTTTGAATTTCCATAGTACTACCACCCTAAGCTAACAGCTGGTAGCTTCCTGAACCAAAAATCTCACATTATTTCACATACAGGTATTTTTTTCACTACAATTGTTGTTCAAAAAATCATGTTCCTGTCACCGCCAAAGTTACCATTTTTGCCACCAGCCACCGCCAAAGTTACCACTTTCCAACAGTTCAAAGAAAAGTTCCTTTTAGTTCTGGAAACATGATGGAAGATCATCACAGTTATTAGTTCTCCATATAGATCAACAATATATGTCTGTAGAATTTAAGAATGTTTTAAATATGTTTCATGAATTAAATATGAAATGAGAACACAAAATATTTTAACCTCCATTAAGTTTGAGCATTTTAGGTATGTATTGAGAATAATCTTCTATATAAATGGTAGCTTGAATGAATCAAATCAGCTAAATATTATTTAATAAAAATCATGTAGACTAAAATCCTCCTCTCCATTTTTTGCTCTTTGTGATGAGTACCCTCTCCATCCATCTCTCTCGCCCTACAAGTTGTGTACCATTTTTTCTTTGTTCCGCATCCACAGCTACGTAATAATTCAATCATCATACAGAATTAGTTTGTATCGTTCCTTCTCCAATATCAGTAGTTATTAGTAGTAGGAGCATCGTTACACTTTTGTGGGTTGTTCTTGAAAAGGTATATAATGGATAGTTGAAATGGAACAAAAGATAAGCATGCAAATAAATTAAACCAAACTAAAATACAAAATTATGATACGTAGGTTATGTTATTCACAAGAAATCTGCAAACCAAACCAATCCATCAGTTTGGATTCAGTTGTGGTTAAACAAGATTTGAATTGCAGTCAAATAGTTAAGTTCACTCGGATTTGGTTTAGTTCCAATAAGTAGTCAACATGGAATAAAGTTGAATTATGCAGAGGCACTTGTACATAAATTTCCATCATACACGTATTTTCCAAGGTGGTGTGCCCTTCACCTTTTATATTGTAGATTTGATCACAATAAGTGATGTAAAAACACTATCAATCAACACAACCCCAGCAAAAAGCCTTTATCCCACGAATTGGGGTCGACTACATGAATTCTTTTTCTCCTTGTGTCCCATTGAGTGTCATATTTTCATCTAATTCTAATAAATTAAGATCATTTTTTATACAAGATGCTCAGGTTTATTTAGGTCTACATCTACCTTTCTTAACACAAGTCGAATCTAAAATGTCTACTCTCCTAACCAGATCATCAGATGGTTTGGTTAAATGTGACCAAACCATCTAAGATGACTCTCTCTAATATTGTCTGCCCTGGAGCTAAGTCAACCCTTTCACGGATATATTTATTTCACATTTTATCTTTGACTGTAAAGCCACCCATTCACCTCAACATTCCCATCTCAACAACGCTTAATTTTATACTTCTTTTTATAGGCCAACATTTTGCGCCATAAAATATCGCAGGTCTCACCTTCCATCTTATAACACTTTCCTCTAAGTATAAGCGGTACTTTCTATCACACAATAAGCCCGATGCATTCAGACACTTCAACCAACTTGAATTCTACTAATAACATCCCCATCTACGTCATCATCGCTTTGAACAAAAGACCCAAGATATCTAAAATGTTCACCTATTTTAATGACTTGATTACTCGTTATAACTTCGCCACTAGATCTACTACTACAAAAATTATATTCCATGTATTAAGTTTTAGATCTACTCAAATTAAAGTCATTAGACTCTAAAATTGACCACAGTAATTCAATCTTTTCCCAAACTTATTCTCTAGTCTTATCCAAAGGAAGGATATCCTCAGCAAAAAAAGCATACATCAAGGTACGTCCTCCTGTAAATGTCCAATAAAAACATACATAAATAAAGCAAAAAGATATGGGCTTATGATCTCTGATGAAATCCAATTGAAAAAGGAAAATACTTGGTCAATCCTCCTCCCGTTCGAATGCAAGTAATCGTTCTAGTACACATATCTTTAAGGACTTAAATATAAATCATATCACCTCTTTTTTTTTTCTAGAACTCTCCAAACAACTTCTCTTGGAACCTATTAATAAGACTTCTGTGAATTAACAAAAATCATATGTAGATCATCTTACTCTCTATGTACATCTCCAACAAACCTCACAAAAAATGTGCAGCTTCCATAGTAGGCTTGTTTGGCATAAATCCAAATTGATTTTGAGAAATCTTTATATAAAGTCTTAACCTATGTTCAATTATTCTCTCCCATAATTTTAATGTATGACACATTGACTTAATTCCTCTATATTTGCACACTTATTTGCATCCCCTTTATTATTAAAAATAGGGACCAAAATGAAATTCCTCCACACCTCAAACATTTTTTTTTAGATTTTAGTATTTTTTTTATTTTTTTATTTTTTTTGAGAAAACGTTATCTATCAAAGAAAAAAATAAGTCAAAAAAACTCATGTAAAGTTGATAAAACCAAAGAAATTCAAACAAACCCACCACAAACTATGTTTATGTTTTCAAACCAAAAAACATCTACGACAAAATATATGTTTGGTTTCGCAGGTCAATTTGGCTTTATTTATAGTTTAGTAGCTTGGTTCACTCTGATATAATACCAAAATAAACTACACAACCAAACACAAGAAATCATGTAGAGTTGATAAAACCAAAGAATTTCAAACAAACCCAACACAAACTATGTTTATGTTTTCAAACCAAAAAACATCTACGAAAAACTATATGTTTGGTTTCGCAGGTCAATTTGGCTTTATTTATAGTTTAGTAGCTTGGCTCACTCTGGTCTAATACCAAAATAAACTACACAACCAAACACAAGTGTCATACACATGCAAGTTTTCATCCAAATACAAATGTATATGCATATACCTAAGCATGCATGAGCCTGCAATCATCGCATGTATAAGCAAGAATGTCAGCATAGACAAAATGCAGTATTTAGAAATAGATGTGCGCTAAAATCCATGTGCACTTGTGTGAATATTCCCAAACATGCAGACTTGCATGCATGCATACATGAAAATTGACATGTTAGACTTAGATAGTTGGGTATTTGACTACCAAAATCATTCTCCGTGCTATATAGGCATAGTACCGTAAATGATTGTGATTAACATGCAGACAAGTAGAGCTTGAATTAGAAAAAAAAAAAAAGATGAGTAAATAACAACTTTTAATCCTAGGTATATCCTAATATACCAAAAGTTATCTGGTTTACAATGTGATATGCTAAGCATGAAACTAGCCAAATCTCTACTCAAATAACGACACGATTACTGGAAAGTAGTAACCATTCTTCATTATATGAATGCTTAGTACATAAGTACCTTTGTAGAAATACTGAAGTAAAGATAAAAAATAGCTTATCCCATTGCCTTTATTAACTTGCATAATATGTTTAAAACATCCTGAATTTCCTACTCCAAAAAATAAATCTACAAACTTCGCTTCCTCTTGAAATGTCTCTAGTTCTTGTTATCTTGAAGTTGACAGCCATGGAGATATATCTTATCAGGTGAGCTCATTAAGTTAAAAAAAAGTAAGCTTCAGGCAAGGTAACTCAGCCTAGCTTTAACAATTTCAGAGATGTATCAGATTCTAGGACATTGCACTTAATGGAATCACACAGCCTTCATCATCACTAGACTGATCCCAACTTCTTGAGGTTGGTTTTATGCATCTTTGGTTTCAATTTGCCTCAGTTGAGGGTTGCAAATGGAATCATATATAACTAAGCATCGCTAAAAATCAGGTCTTGTATAAAACCAAAACTCATGACCGACAAAGCATCAATTTAATTTAAGAAAGCATTAAGTAAAACTAATGTTTTGGTAAGTGATAGCTATTAAGAAAACATCAAAAATGCATTTGTCACTGACAAAGAAATGAATAATAATTAGAGTAGGCATGTAATAAGAGTAAATAGATAAGATATGAAAGCATATTGAGTGCAAAAACCATTGATCTTTCAAATGATAGAATGAACTTAGAAATAGGAAAGCAGACAAAAATCATAAAATAATTGAAAATAAGAAACAATCTCAAAATACACAGCCAGTCAATAGTGCACCTTAAAAACAATGACATCAATCCACTATATCCCAATATGGCTTGAAAAGCTGAGGACATGATAAAAGCTCCCTGCAGCTCCTTCATTATGTGCTTAAAATTCTGTAACAGAAAAAAATAAAACTTCTATTACAGGTTGTGGATGCCTGTTTGCAGTGCATCTAATAGAAATTGCAAGTGAAGCGTAGAAGTAAATAATATCTAGGACATTTTTATGCCACAAAGATTAACATGACATATGAAACTGCATTGCCTAAATCAATGTTCCCACAGGAAACATAATTCTACAATTAGAACACATAATACTAGCAGGACAAATGTGTAGTGCTTACATTCCCATTCAAACCCTGGAACTCGGGAGAGTTAATAATCGCCAGCACTGGGGCCAGATACACGAAAGAAGGGCCCTGTATAAGCGGCAACCTTGTGCCAAAGAATGTGTGAAGCAATGTAGTCATTCCTGAGATGAATAGCACGGTAGAAACTACAGCTGCCGTATCTTCCTGTATCAAAATCATTTTCTAAATAAGAGAAATAATCACTATTATTATTAAGCAGGGGGGAAAAAATTGAACACTTACAGAAGTTCCACCCAACGCTGGAACAATGACTAACGGTATTAAAACTAACGAGCCCAGAATCGAGAGGTAATGCTGGATGCCGTAAAGCACGATTGGAACTAAATATCAAAAGGAGACGCAAATACATCAGTCATGAATAAAAGAAATAGAAATCATCACCATCTTTAAAGACAGTAGTGTTCTCACCAAGGCCAGGTGTCTCTCTGAGCTCATACTTTATATGCGACTGCCTCGAAGCAAACCCATCGTCTTCTTCACGAACCTGAGGCAATGCAACCGCCTCTTCCTCCCTCCTTGGCTTCGGGGGAACAGGAGGATCTGACCGATGCTGTCCATTCTGCCCGGAACCAATGGCGTTGGGCCCCTGACCAACCCCACCGCCATCAGAATCCCTCCTCTTTCTCCCTATCGGATCCACCGGCCTCGCTGTCGGATCCACTGGCGCCGCTACAGGCTGCCCATTTGCCACTGCAAGGGCTGCAACCGGAGGAGTAGGAAGCACGTGCGTTTTCCCAGCCTCAAGATCCACATTAGCTTCCACCTCCTTCGGTTTCGGAAGCGCAATCTGACCGGAACTACTCGCATTGGACTCCCCAGAAACTCTACCCTTAAATCCCGTCCTCTTCGCCCACGAAAGAGGCGGTTGCGCGCCCTCAGTAGGACCGGTAATGTTTCCTCCTGCCGGCGGCCACGGCCCTGGTCGAGCCCGCCTTGGCGGACGGTCCCGCGTCGCCATTATTCCTAGAAGCTCATTCACTCGTAAGATCTGCAGCGAGCTGCGCAAAAAACAGATCCCCTATACGAACAGAGGAAAATGACAACCTCCCTCCTCTCTTCCGATTCGTTCAGCAAACGAGAGAGGGAGAGAACTAGGGTTTCTGCAGCAGGAGAGAAGAAATCAGCTCGAGGACCACCATTGTGAGAGAGAAGATGCAAGAGGTGCCACTTAACGAGTGAGGAGGGTTTTTGTGCTGGATTTCAGAGAAAGCCAAACTGGCAAAATAAATAAATAAAAATACTAGTTGGAGGGAGAAAGAGAGAGGAGAAAAGGAGTTGGTCTGAAGCAGTCCGCCGCGGCTTAAATGCCCTTTTTCCTGTAGGTGACGTAAGCGAAAAAGATAGCGAACAGAACGCTGGAAGAAATATTGTCAAAAGTCGTGAATTTTTTATATTTTTATAATATTTTCATAATTTTATAGTGATTATATAATATCATTATAAATCTAATTAAAATATTATCATACATGTTATTCTAACAGTATTTATTGAAATTATAGTATTATTGTAGTATAATATCATCATAATACTATCGCATCTACGCTCATCTCATACTCACGTAATATTTTTTTAATGATTGTTGTGGGATTTTAACGATCTAATTTTAAATCAAATTAAGATTAATTTACAATTAGTTTGAAAAATTTTCGATTCAAAATTTTAACATGTAGCTCGACTCGTTTAATTCTATCGGATCTCTCTGATTGTCACTCTTCAAGCTAAATTTGTTAAATTGCAATCTGATTTAGGCTCGAAAAAAAAAACTCATTTATTTTGAATTGGCCTCAATCCAACTCAAAATTTGAATCAATTTTTTAAGCAATAAATAAAACTTCGAGCTAAATTAACATCCCTAACTTTGTGTGTACGGCTATTTACGGCATTTAAGAATAATTATGTCCTATCTGCTTTTAATCTTAATCTAATCCCTGTCATTTGTGCGCTTAATCTAATACTTCCCATTTGGGCTAATTAATGCGAGAAAGGAGAGCACACGTATGCAGGTGCAGAGCTAATTCGTGGCGTTCGTGCGAGTAAGGGTAGATGATTAATTAATTGGTAATTAGATAATTAATTAGTTGATAAAGACTGAACCGGCGGCGTGAGATCTTGTTTAATTTAATTTGTGTTTTATTAATATTAATGATGAAGATTAATTGGATTAATCACTTTTTAATACGTATAATTTGATGGCTCCGATTTGATCCAAATCTGATAATTATTATTGTATTAGTTTTTGAACCAACTTTGAATTTAATTATTTTTATCTTAAATTATGTCACTTCGTATCAACTCCATAAAATCCTAACGCTCCATTAATAAATTTTAACATTTTATACGAATTTTGAGATGATTAACACGAATCTTGAAATATTATTTGAATAAGAAATATTAAAACTCAAATTTAAAATGATATAGAAATTTGAATTCAACAAACTTGTATTCAAACGCACCGGCTCGACTTGATGAACATAATGACAATAAATTTAATAAAATTTGAGTCAAATCAGGCCGGATTGAGTCATAAAACCATTTGTGGAAGATTTGAATGGCTAAGTGATGGGTTGAATGGATTCCAAATATGAGGAGTTTATAATTAAATTGGGCATCTCGATGAGACGCATACAACGAGTTCAATGTCACATCGGCTTAAAGAGAGGAGTCGAATTTCAGTATTGTTTTGCATTGAAGACCCAATAAATGTTTCCCGCTCCCACAAGTACTGACGACCATCCACCATAATTAGTAGGTCGTTGTTGATCACCATTAGTCATCTTCTGCTCATTGCAACGAAACCCCTTGCGGAGTCATGACGTACGTTGTGGAGTGACGAAACATCGTGCAAAATAAAGAACAACGCCATGGTGTGACGTAGCATCACATGGAGCAGTGTTGCAAAAACATCCCAAAGAAGGTGCAATGATAAAACCTTGAGACAAAGTTGAAATGCATTTCCAATACAGTGTAACGACACATCCCTAATATGGTGTGACGCACCCCAAAGACGATTTAACGCACGTCAAAGAATATACTCCGGCCTTGATTTGACGCAAAGCAACCCGTATATAGCATAAGAATATACTCCCAATACGGGATCATGAATAACGATGCATAAAGGCATCAAAAATCCAACGATAACTCCTTACAATAGTTAATTATAATATTCATATTTAGAATATTGTAACTTTCTTCATACTCCTGAAGTCCTCTCCCACATCTCCCCAGTGTGACCCACGGACAATATCACGACTCACTATTAAAGCCTACGTGACCAATACGTAGCTCACAATTCAAGCATCTCTTAATTCCCGCCTCTATGAGCTACGGATATATTACAACTCACACATTATGACTTATGTAATCAACTACAACCTACATGATCCACAACTCATGCAACTCCTAACTCTAGCATCTATGACTTACATACGTTATTACGACTACCCACTATGGCCTATGTGGTTCATGCCTCACCCAGCTCCCAACTTCGGTCTCTATAACCTATAAACGTTCTTGTGGCTGATCACTATGACCAACGCGATCAATTATTACACATGTTGTACATAACTCATTCAACTCCTAACTCCAACCTCTATGGTCTAAGAACATTACCACAACTTTCTACTATGACATACATAACCAACTACAACATATGTCGCCCACATCTCATGCATCTCTTTATTGAACATAGTTTTGTTTATATAATATGTTTCCTCTATTAATTTTTTAGATAAATTCGGCTGAGATGATCTTTTCAATATATTACTAACAGGTTGAATGGAAGGGAGAGGATACCGGTTTAAATGACACTGACTTAAACTGGTAATTTTTTTGAAGTGATATAAAAGAATTGAGGGACCTAAGCGTAAGAAAATAAAAATTTAGGTTTTTGATATGTAAATATATAAGAATTGGGTGGCATGTATGTAAATGCCCCCATTCACTTAGTGATTAGGAGTTCGGTGAGAATTTAATCAAAGCCGAACCCTAATAACCAAACCAAACTATTCTTTGATTGATTCGGTTGCACTTTTAATCTGTTCCAATTTCAGTCAATACTTATAAGCTTAAGTTTATGCCATCAAAATAGTCCAAATATGAAAATGAAATCTTAGATGCTTAATATGTAAATATATAATAATTGTTCTCATTTAAATCACGTCCGGACCTATAAATATATTCGCTTAGAGATAAGAAAAAGAAAGCGCCGCCGTAATCAAGTGTTATTATGTATTATTCATGTGTTATTGATGTGTTATTGCACCGTTTTTTTCTCTGTCGGGAATATCCATGTCATTCAGGTGTTATTGTGTGTTGTTCATGTTTTATTGTGTCCTGAGAATATTTTGTGTTATAATAACACAATAACACATCAATAACACATGAATAACACGCAATAACACATGAATAACACGCACTAACACATAAATAACACGGGGAATATTTCCCGTGTTATTGCGTCGTTTTTTTTTCCTTGTCGCACGGGATGTCGTGGCGTGATTTCATTGACTACGCACGTTACTTTTACGTGCATAGTACTGATGTAATATTTTTTCCGCCATTTTGGCTTTAATTTCACAAAACTTTTTCATTATTTTAATTTTCTCATTAACAATTATATGAATTAAACCACTCCAAAAAGTTTTAAATCACTCAAATAATTTTAAAACTACCATTGCCGTGAACCACTGCCGGATGCCACATTGGCAACGGCTACCAGAAGAGAAATGTATTTTGATATTCAACATATAGTATTCAATAAAACATCAAAATACAATATATATTTAATATATTAAATATATGCAATTTAAATTTAAAATACATATTAAAATAAATCAAAATAAAAATAAAAGTGATCCAAAACTAATGTCATTGATAATTGATAAATAGTTATTATGCTAAGAATTTCTTAGAAGAATTTCTCTCTGCAGAGCTGTCCAATGACGACAACCATGGTCGAGAACATGCTCCTTCAAATTTTTAATGTAATTTTAAGCATAAAAACAATTAAAAACTAATTGTCGGAATCTTATCTACTTGAGAAAATCTGTGGGGTAAGGTAAGAGCCAGTTACCCGGTGACACCTCCCTCCAGAGCTAAGTTCCCCATTGTCCTGCAAATAAATAAATAAATAAAAATCCAACATATTATTAGTTATATGATATTCTGAAAAAAATAAGGAAAAATAAATTTCATTTAATAGCAAATTTTCAAGCATAAAGGTATTCTATGCCACTCGAAAAATGGAAATTTACGTACGTACCACGCAATTCTTATATATTTACATATCAAACAGCTAAACTTCTAATATATATAACATTCAAATCTTTCACATCACATAAAAAATAGCACTGATAAAAAAAAAATTAAAAGTGAATTACATACTTAAACGCAAACAAATATCAAAACTTAGATGCTAGACATGTAAATACAAAAGAATTGTGTGATGTGGATGTAAATTCCCCTTCAAAAAAATGATCGTTTTCTAAAACGATATGCTTCACAGTTTATTATGTTAACGGAAGTGCCTGCAAAAGTGAAAGTTAAATAGTTAAACAGGGGAAGAAAAAGTCGAACAAATCAGAGGCAAACACCCAACGCAATTATGATTGAAAAGAAGCTTATAATTCCATTTGAATACAGTCTACATAAGAATGGAGATCTTCTACATGTGAAGAAACTACGAAAGATAGCAGTCATACATACCACTCAATTCCTATGTATTTACAGATCTAACAACAAAACTTTAATTTTTTACATACAAGGCCACCTTGCCTATGAAGGAAAAGCTGTGTTTCACAATTTGAAAGTCAAAATTGTGGTGTTTTTTTATGTGATATGAAAGGTTCGGGTTGTGTGAATGTAAAAAAGTAAACTTTAGATGTTAGATATACAAATACATAAGAATTGGGAGGTATGTATGTAAATGCCCCTATATGAAAGCATTTGCAATAATAATCATGCCAAGTAGCTTAATAGAAGATCCAACAAACTTGATAGAATGAATAAAGAATCAAAAACACAGGTATAAGAAATAAAATATCTTTGCATTGAAAAGTAATTTATCCTACATATCCCTAGTCATATATTTTGACCCCACATCATATATTGTATATTTGTGTCCAACCGTTATGCTGATCTGATGCCCTTGAAACATAGGCACAAGGGATGTCATGAAACTCAAAATAATCCAACTCTCCATAAGGAACAAAATTTATGCTTCATAGCAACCTATAAGAAGATAAAATCTTTCTGATACTTAGCTGAGCTAATTCAAAATTTGGCA